GAGAGAGAGAGAGAGAGAGAGAGAGAGTTTAGTTTTAGTAAGAGTTTTACGGCACTTGCAACACAATAGGTCATATAAGATTAGAAGTGTTACAAGAGAGTAGCAAACACAAAAAAGAACGAGGGGCGATAAGGATGATAGGTGTTGGTCAGGAAAGAAGGAGCAAACCACTCCAGAGCATCTGTCAACCATCCCTGTGTCATAAATGTCTCGAGCACGTAGTCCACCGCACCACAAAGCAAGCTACATTATACCAGACATCGACGGAAAAATTGAGAAAATGAAACAGAACAGTGCTTTAGAATGTTTACAGTTTACATGATACTGGAATTTCCAACTCCAGAAACTCCTCACAAGTGTCTAGATCTCAACCCGGATGAAAAGCGGTAATTGCGGGAGGCTGAATTTTAAAAAATAATTTATATTTACTCTCCTCGGGGGAAGGGGGGGGGGAACTTTGGCAGACAGTGGGCGGATAAATAAGATTATTTTACGCAGCGGTCGAGGTGATATTTTAGTCCCACAATGAGCCTGTGATGAAAGAATGGACGTAAAAAACGTGCTGCTCTGTTTCTTCTCCTTCCGCTTCTTCCAGTCTAACTTTTGCCCGAATCTGTTCTTTCGAAATGTGGGCGTTGTCCTGTGGACTTGTAAACTCTTACTCAATATCATCTTGTTTTGATAGGAATGTGACCGAATGTGTGCCTGAGAAAAGTAACGATTTGGTGGATAAGTGATAGTATTTGAGTAAATGAATGAATGAATAAATGAGAGAGTGAGTGGATTAGTAAATGAAAAAGTCATTCGTGAATTAACTTGTGAATGAATGATAGCATGGATTAGTGAATAAGTGACTAAGTGAGTCAGTTAATGAATGAGTTCGTAAGTGAGTGAATTAGAGAATGAGTGAGTAAATGATTCAGTGAAGGTGTGGGTGAATGAGTAAGTAAGTCAGTCTGGAAACGGATGAGTGAGTGAATCAGTGAGTGAAACAGTGGACCACGGCTATTCCACGGAAACTGACGAGACATTTGGACCATACTGTCTCACAATGATAACACTGTAATTCAATATCAATTAGTTTATTTCAGCTTTAAATGATCAGATCATACGTCATCTGTCGCGTCAGTTACCGAAACTAAACACGTCACAGAATTTGCATAAAGTACTTTATTTTTTCAAATGACTGCATTTAATATGATTCTATGTCTTCCGAATGTTTTGACCATTTAAAGTTGAAATAAATTAATTGATAATGAATTATAGCGTTATCACTGTAAGAAAGTATAGTCCAAAGGTCACGCCATTTACCGTAGAACAGCCCGTCAGTGAGTAAATAAGTTAGTCAGGGAATCAGTTAACGGGTTACAGAATGCTTGAAGTTACGTTTAAATAGCGAACTTGATGACTGTATGAGTAAGTGACTAAGTAAACATTACAAGCGATACGGAGGAGAAGCGAAGAGGCGTACACACAAGAAAAAAAAGGCGAGATGATTGAGAAGATCTAGAGGCGAGCCCCTCTAGTATATGATCATAATAACAGAACTGTAAACATAGGCTTCGTGCTGACGCAAGGAGAAAGATACATCGGACTTTGGTGAGTGGTCGTTGAATGGACTAACGTTTGCTGACCGAGTCTAGAGCTTAGAGGTCTCAGACAGTCCAGGATGTGTCTGAGAAATCTGAGTTAGGGAAGGAGACTCCGTGATTTGAACCTCCTTCCATGAGGTTATTTTTTTTAAAAAGAGGAGCAATTTGTCATCGCGGATTAGGAACGGATTACTTGGCTCTACACTCCCTCCAACCCCCTCCTCCTCCCCCACCTCCTCCTTAACGCCCCATCCTCCTCCTCCTCCTTCTCCTCCTCCTCCTCCTCCTCCTCTTCCTCCTCCTCCTCCTCC